GTCACGGTATTTGCCATGCAATGTACATAAGCAATTCAATTTTTTTAAAATTCAAATTCAACTTACACTGAACTAAAGTCGACGTCTCGGACGAGCGTCTTAATTTATCGTCAGAAATAAACGCAAAGCCAGATTCAAACCGCTGCGAAATCCCCAAAAACGATAAATTACCACGCGCAGAACTTCGCGCCTCTTCCTTTCACGTCTCTAATTGTGCTCGTGATGAATGCCTCCCGAAGAACGCTTCCGACGTGTTTACACGTCGTCGGTCCGCTAGTTCGTGCCAGTTCCTCAGTAAGAAAAAAAGAAATAGTCGGCCGATTAACGAGCGACACGCGAACAGAGCCGCGTGTAACGAGCACACGGGATAAAGAATTTAATTGGAAACTCAATTTCCCGATTGTGACACTCCAAGTACTTCGCACACGCGTAACCGTGACAAGAATTTAATTGTTGCGTAAAACAGTAGAAGCGCTGTTTAACGCGTTGCACGGGGCCAGGCTTTTTAATTTAAATCGCGCTCGAAAGTATCAATCGACACGCCGGGATCACTCACGATCCCCACCGATGGAAGCCACCATCACCTCCGGAACAGAATCGCATTTCCTGCTCTGTACAGCAATCGCTTCTTCTGAAGTGGCGTGAGAGGGACCGGCGAGCGCGATGGAAACCAGAAATTCGTTTTTCAATCATCTCGGCCCTCAGCCGCTCGGCCGATCAATCGTACAGAGGAGGGATTATGGCTACAATTATTCGAGTACCAACCAATCACCGGACAATGCATCGTTTTCCCAAGAGCCGCAATTGTCGGTTTACGAAAATTGCTCTTCGATCACCTTTGCTCCTGTCGGCGATTCATCTCTGGCTGTGTCGTTCGCCACATTTCATTTTCATCGAATTAGCCAACCGGTCGATCGATACGTATCGAATCGTATGATCTTTACGCAGGCGAGGCACAATTGGTCGCCTCGTTGAATGTTTTATTTTATAGCAGTAAATCGATCGAAAGGACTTTTCGCATCCTTGCGTGGTATGTTTATCGCGATTTATATTTATCTGTATCTTTATTTCGTTAATCGTTCGCGACACGAGGACTTTTTATTCGGGATGGAAAGGACGAACGATTGCTTCGAAATCGAATGGAATGATTCGATTCGATTCGATGTTATTTTGAAATGACCTTGCGTTAATTTATTTGATTTTTTAATTAGCAAATGACTTCTCCTTAAATTATTTGGTTATATATATTTTTTATACTATTTATAATACGTAATTTCAGATTTGCTTCTGTGAATAATTTCTCAAATAGTTTCCCTGATGTTACTGTGTTATTTTATTTCCAGGATAAGGTTACTTTTCTCAAATTGTTTCCCAGACAAAAGTAATAAATTAGTGAAAATGATTTTTGCAAATGAAAAGCAAGGAATAAATTTATTTCAAAAGAAATTCCAACATATTATTTGGAAAATAAATGATCGTTGTTTGTACAGATATATGTATGTACACATTTCCTACTAAAGTCAAATGGCATTACTTCAAATAAATAAAATAATTTATTTTTCAAATACACTTTTACCTAACTGACATCAGAAGCAAATAACAAAGAAAATAAAAATCATTTCGATGAAACTTTGATTCAGACTTTTACAAGCAACGTTTAATAATATCGTCGCGACATATTCGTCAAAAGAATGAAGGAGAGATCTTCAAGTAAACTGCACACTCTTGTCCAGAGACAATTTGACAGAACATTCGAATGAAGGTAATTTGGAAAGAGATAAAACTAAATAAAATTAATCGAATCTCGTCCATCTATCGAATTAGTCAACGGCGCTCTGTTCCGCAATCGGACGATTTCCACGAATAAAATCATAATTACCGATTCGCTGAAATCGTTCCCGACGAAAACGGCGTACAGCGATGAACGAAAAACCTCGTTCTTCAACCACCTTGGATCTCGTCAGCAGCACCTGCAACCCCCGTTGGTTTGCATCGCATGCATACTCATTTCCGTTAGATTACCAGCGTGCCGGTAGCTACGGCTGTTGAACTGAATGAGAGATAGACAGAGAGAAAGAGTAGAGAACATGGTGCACCGTACCACCTGACGGCATGGCCTTCGCGAGACAAAACCTCTTTTCACAGTTAACCCCGCTCCCCCGGGTCGCACAAAGAATGTTTAATATCAGATTTCATACGGGATGCACGGGAAACGGTAGACGGTTTGTCGGAGGCGACAGAAGAGGGCAGAACGTTTGCCAGACCATGTAAAAACCGATATCAAACGGGACGACAGCTTTGTTTCGTCCGGTACAATCCTGCCAGGAATCCACGGAATACGGGTTCGCCCGTTGGCGCGAGTGGAAAAGCTTCGTGAATCGAGATAGAGAAGGCTTCATCGGGGTAAAACCTAGGTGAAACCTCGCGCAACCCACTCTTCTGCGAGTCAATATTTCTTTTTCTCCTTTTCCTTTTTTCTTTTTCCTCTCTCCTTTTTTTCTTTCTTTATCTCTTTTTATCATGCCACCAGCCTCGAACCCTTGATCTTACTGCTCCGTTCCGACGTTCTGTGCAAGATTTTATTTAACGAAACAAACCGCCTAGATAGAACTGAACCAGTAGATTAAAGAAGAGAAGGAGGCGAATTTTCACGGTGAACATTTTCGATCGTACAGATTTTCAAAATAAACGGGGAAATAAACGTCGCCTCGCAATTAAGTCTCTTTACAATTTCAAAAATGTTACAAAGGCAAATGAAAAGACAGATAAGTGGAAATTATTGGAAAATGAGAAGCATATATTTAAGTTTTTTTTATGCCTCATTTAATACACTCTGTATGGGCATCATTAGTTGCCTGCACATCAAGACGGTTCTCGATTTCTTGCTGTATTCGCTGTAGTATATCCTCGTCAATGGTGATCCATCCTCAGCTTTAGATTAGTGATGTCCCATACCTTTGTTCGATGCACGATATGTTCAATACAATATAGAGGTGTATCAAATGAGGCAAAAAGAATATTTGAACATACACGCCTCATTTTGTAATAATTCCCACTTATCTGTCCTTTCGTTTGCCTTTGCAAATAAATTATTGAAATCGTAAAGAGACACATTATGGACACTCTGTACACTCTCGCACAGTTTGGCAATCGAGCGGCAGAGACTAATTTCGCGCGAACGCGCACGAAACTGTCTTTGCGCGGTGGCTGAATTATTCGAGCAACGCTCGACCGAGATAAAAGGGCGCGAGTTAACCAGCGAGGAACACGTGCGCGCCGCGTCTCGTGTCAAGGAAATTCGTTCAAGACCCGTATGCCGCGTTTAATTGCCTGTGACACCGTGAAACGTGGTTCTGTCGCACCTTTCGTCGCGAAACAGGCTTGCCGGGTTAAATATTTTTATTCCCCGGCGCAGGAGTTTCGCAATCCCCCAGTTGAGTGCCAAGTTTCGACGAGCGTTTCGAGTTGAAGCGTACGTGAGAATTATTGGAAAAAAAAAGAAGCGAAAGAAAAAGAAAAAAGGGGGAAAGAAGGAGACCCGCGTTGGCGATAAATTCGTACGCGAGATACACCGATAGCGATGGAACGAACGGCCGTAATTAGACAATCCGATCACTCAGCGGCGTTTCAATCAGGCAAATGGAAAAACTTGGCGGAACGCTGTGCGCTTTTTTCATCGAAACGCATATAGGTTGATTATGCGCTCTACATGCGCTCGAGTGTCTTCCTTCCGTTTAATGATCCCCTGTTTTGCCCTCTGGTTCGTGCGTTGATGTTTTTCTACTCCAAATGCTCGCGTCCGACGAGTCTTTGTCGTAACAGGCGCTCTGCGTTACGATACGCGTTAGTATAGTCCCATAAAAAGGAAAAATGGGGGAAAAAAGTCCCTCTTCCGTCCCTGAACTATCTCGAAGCAAACGCAGCAGTGACTTTAATACCGCGTAACACGAGAAGGATGAATAACAATGTTTAAACAAAATGTTCCTCCGCTTCTGTCCCCTTCCACCCTCGATATGTATACTTTTTCCCGTGTTCCACGTTTTGTACAATTTACACGACGATATCGGGTAACTGACGAAACTACACTACTCTCTAAAAGTATTAGGACACTTACTAATTTCTTAAATTTATTTCAAAGTTAGTTATATCAAACTGGGAGAAGTACATATAGTTTACATTATAGTAATAATAACATTAATTCTGCACGAGAAGGTTAAACTTTCTTTTCGTCGATATATCCACCGCGTTCAATTATTTGTTCGACTAATTTCGACATCCGTTTTATTAGATTTTTTTTATTGTTTCTGGTACTATTTGGTTCCATACATTTTGTAGTTTGTTCCATAAGTCGTTTCGGGACTTTGGACACACCTCACGGATTTTCCGATCATCCCAAATCTTCTCTATTTGGTTCAGATCGTGAGATTGAAGGGTGCCAATGCGTTAATTTTTGATTCATCATTCTGTTCTAAATGTTGCAAAGGGCTTGGCAGTGGGCTTGGGATCGTTGTCACGATGAAAATAAAATTTTGGCCTATTAATCGCCTCCTAGATGGCATGATCACGTAAAATAGACAAATATTGTTTATTTTCAGTTTGATTTTTAGTAAATCACCAACACTATTTGCTCCAATACACCGCCCTCTGAGTTTAAGTGTGGGTACGATAGTCAGGAATCATTTTTTCTTCAGGTCCTCTAAAAACATAAACTCGCTTGCAACTGAATACCTCAAATTTAGACTCGTAGTATAAAACATTTTTTCACTCTTCAACTTCGACCAATTTCGATATCTATTTAGCCCACTGTAGTCTTCTTACTTTATTTTGTGATATTAGTAATGTTATAGCTACGCATCCACGAAAAAAATTACAATGTATACTGAATAAGCAGATGTCCTAATATATAATACCTCTGGAGGGTAGTGTACACATGTACCTCGTTTAATTTCATAGTCGTCGACTCGCGAATAATCACGCGCCCATCGATTGTTTTCACCTAGACGTGGCTCACGGCAACTTCACGCCAGAGGAGGCACCGACAACCGAGTCACCGATCCAGAGCGACGTCTTCGTGGAGAAAAACGGCGCGGCGGAGGGTGAACTTCCGGTCTCGACGGCGAAACACGACGACCCGACGTACATGGCGGTCGTGATCGGCGTGCTGACCGCCGTGATCCTTCTGCTCGCCGTGGCGATATTCCTCATCGTCTCCAGGCACAGGCAACGAAAGTGTTTCGCAAGCCCCATGACCGGCAAGGCACCGTCCCATCTTGGATCTACCTGCGCCACGGTGGAGAAAGGAGCCGCGTTGATGGCCTACACCTTGGAAGATGACGAAAGGTATTTGACAAATAGAGATCATACGAAACGTGTGGGTACAATTTCACTAGTACGTTCAACTCACTGAAATGAAAAAAAAAAAAAAAAAGGGAAAGAGAAAGAAAAACGGAAATGATATTTTATTATGTGATACAAGGTCCAGTCCTTGAAATGACAAAAAATTAATTAGGTACGGTACAGATCCTGCAATCTTGCGATGTTCATTTTGCAAAAACGATAATTTACTGTATTAAATATTTATTATATTTGTTTATTAATTTTATTTATTATTTATTTATTATATTTCCTTATTAATTTTATTTATTATATATATATTTATTATATATTACTTGTATATTTTATTTATTATATACTTTGAGATAAATTTTTCATCATACTCGGTTGAACTCTTCAAACATTCTGTCAATCGTCGATTGAATTTTCTTAGCTGTCCGATAATTTGCAAAGTTTTAGCAAACTCACCGAACTCGAAAGGACTTGAAAAGAACTTGAAAAAGCACGAATATCGTGATATCGGGGGATTATGGACAAAGGAACGGAAATATTTTATTTATTACTATTGTTTAGTTACAATAACTCGCGCTACTCGTTGGAAATATTTCGTACAAATATTTGAAGTCGGAATGATAACGAAGCGATACAATACTGGCGCCGCGCGCCGCGGTTCCTGGTTACGGCTGAAAGGAAACGGTGTGGACACAAAGGATTTGCGGCTTTCGCCGTTATAGTAAATATTACTACTAATAATATTAGCTTTCGAGATAGGCCTACGGTTTCGCGTCGATTTCGCGTCTACCTTGTGCAAACATCATGGTTTACCGATTTTAGTGCCTTGCTTAGGTCCCGGCGAAACGATGTTTGCCAATCGTCGGCATGAAATGGCTGCAAAACAGCCGTGTGCGATAATCGATATTATTGTTATCGCCGCGAGGAGCGAAAGTAATTTTTTAACATGATGTATGTTCTCGCGAGTGACGTTTGAAATATGCCACCCCTGGCAAAATGTTTTCGATCAAACGCGCGTGATGTACTTGGACACATTTGAAAACATTTGAAGTCTTTCAGGTGCAAAATATTGTTCCATTTGCTTGAAACATATTGAAAAATGGAATTAGCGATTTCAATTGAGTTTCTCCTACATGAAACGTTCCCAATGTTTTTAAATAGTTTCGATCACTTGCGTTTGATCAAAAATTTCTGCGAAATTTGTCCTCGGTTTAAAAATAAATTCATTGAAAAATCTAGAAACGAAATCGCAAAGACATTCGGACAAATCGTTTTGCACGTTATACGCATTCACGATGTTCGTGTAAATTCGATGAAAATTTGAGACAATTTGAGAAATACAAGTTACAAAGATACTGAAATAAATCACACAAGCATTTAAACAGTGCTTGTATTTCTTTTATGTATTTCGATGAGCTGTGTCGATTGATATATTATGTTGCAACAAGTAACAACAGTGACATAAATCAAGTGTCAAATGTCATGATAAAATCAGGTAAAATATCCTACATACATCACAGTCATTTGAACCAATAATACCAATGTATTTAAAAAAAAAAGAAGATGAAAAGGTATTTAAATAAATCGATCTGTACATTTAAAACAGAGTATCCAAAATACATTTAAAAGATTCAAAAATGGATTATGGAACCAATGTATCCAAATAATTGAAGAGGGAAATTACCTCATTCATCATGCGCGTTCAAAGTGAAGCGTGAACTTAATCCATCTAAAAAAATTTACGAAGGTAATCAGGAAAGTATTTAACTATATCACTCGTTACGTCGTCTCTTGAAAACAACGTGACAGCGTAAACTACCGATCCATCAAAGTCCAAAGAAAAAAAAGAAAGAAAAATTAGAAAAAGAAATTGAGAAAGGATATACTGCATTCAGCTTCATTGTACCTTGGAAACTGTTTTAATTTAAGCAAGAAGTTACTTTCAACAGCTCGTCCGATAAACGATAGAGGCAGCTAGCAATTTGATTATGAAAATTCGTAATAACGCGGGACGCCGCGACAGCCACTCTGTAACTTTGCGACCATTCTACTCCGCGTAGCTACTCCGCGACGGCGGAAGCCACTTTCCAATAAACTTTCCATTCGCGGTGTTCGTTAGTGGACGTCCAATAACCGGACATCCTCGAGCAATATATCGAGTTTGTATGGCACGAATGTCTCCAGACGAGATCCTCGTAGCTACGTCATTGTAACTCGGGCGCGACCTACGCGCTTTCAACATTGATCTTCAACCTCGGCTCCGCTTTGTACAACCCGATATTGCCGTTCGGAGAATGTCCTAAAAGAGAGCGTATATAGGCGAGTGGTTCGAGTGCACGTACGAACGTTTCACCACCCCTTTGACGAATATCTGACGTGCACTTAAGTTGAACGGGAGAAACTCGCCGGGTTAAAAAAAAAAAAAGGAAAAAAGAAGAAGAAGAAAGGTATCCACTTGAAAAACGATGCACTTTCGTCGCTACAGAAGATCCAGCTTTAAGGCTGGGTTTCCAATCTAGGTGTTCCATTCTTTTTAACGAGCCGTCCTTTTTCGCTGATGGTTCGTCATGCAGTTGGGAAACACGAGTTCTTTCGACGATGATTCAGAGGTCAGGGTCGTGCCACCACGTACCGCGAGTTTCGGTAAATTCCAAAAGTCAGAATCTAGGTGTAACTTAATGTAGTACACACTACGTATTTTATAGGAGTTTGATGGAAAAAAATAGTAATCTTCTCGTTTCCCAAATGTAAGTTAAGGTAATAAAAGAAATGCACGAGATTCGTGTTTTCACGGAGGATTTGATTTTTAAAATCAAAGAGAAGTTCATCTTTCTCGAATCAAGCTTCAAATGGTATCGTTGGATTATATTATAGATGCTGCAATGGTGGTAGTAATTCTCTCCGATGGAAATTAGTGGCCTAAATTTTTATGACCCTAATACCATCGTATGATACTGTTGAGATTAAATATAAATAATATTTGTTTAATAATAATGCTGATGATTGAGCAATAGATAATTAAACAATGTAGTGGACACAGATTAACAACTAATATACACTCTTTTTCACGCATTTCTTCACACTACAGACCATCTGCTATAACTAAATGCAACTAAAGATATAATAACTACAGCTACAGGCTGTGCTTTAACGACAACCTACGATGTTAATTCCAAACTCCTCGTATTATTCAGAGTTAATACAGAGGAAATGTCAAGAAGCAAGACGAAAGCAAGTTTCCCAGCGAAACGAAATATTAGAACGCAAATTCCAGCCGATTCTTCGACGGTGCAACCCCCTGTTTCCATTCGCCACGCTATCCGCGTCATCTCACCGTCGATGAGACAAAAAAAAAAAAACCTACCAGACGTCTCCGCACACTGTCTCTGCTCTCCGAACTCTCTCCCGTGTTCCCACAGTCGTCCTCCGTTTCGCCATCCCATAAGACGTAGCAGACGAAACACAAGTAAATCCCACGAGTGATACGAAGTCTCTCTGTTCTCTCTGTTCTCTGGTAAGATACGCGGGCGGTTCGCTGCCAACACTGCCGCGGGACCTGGGGAACCGTTTTCTGGACATCGTGAAACTCGACGACTATCAAGAACCGTACCAGGCCTTGAAGTACGCGCCGTACTACAGCTACAGCACCGTCGTTATGGAGATGAAAGACATGATGCTGAACAACAAGGGCAGTAACATCAATCACTCAGGTATGCCGTGCTCCTGTACACGCTAACGTCTCGCGTTGTTTTGCGCGCGTGCATACACATATGTACGTACGTACATACGTACGCGAGAGTAACACACAGCCGTATTAGCCGTGTATTTATACGCGGGTACACATTCAACTCCTACTCCCGGTAGCTACCGGCTGGTACACGTACGTACGTACGTACCAAACAACAAAGCATTCGCTTGACCGCAATCAATACACTGTCCCCCTGCACTCTGTTCCCACCGTCCCCTTCGTCAATCCTGCCCCTGCGCCCGTTCCACCTTTGCTATATCATCCGCAGCGGTGTACGCGAATGGTGCAGTTGACACATCGTACGATTATGCGGTACCGGAACTCGGCACGGTGCCCCTGCTCAACCAGGACGGCACGGGACGAGGGCCTGCCGTTTCCAGCGGCGCCAGTGACCAGGACAGCATCTTCTCCAAGACCTCGTCGCGCGGCAACAAAACGGAAAATAAAAAGGTGCGTGGCCTTTATTTTGGGATTCACTTGCTAGATAAGAATGTGTTGACAATTGCCATGGCAGTCATGAAGGGTTGACGACAGTGCCAAAAAGCTTCTGGGCGGGGGGTTGATGAAATTTGGTATAAAAATTCCGTACGAAATTGAAACGCGATAAATTGCTAAAAATAATTTTCAGCTGCAATAAATCAAAGTAGTTTACTTATAATAATATAAATAGGTAAATATAATAGGTTTAAATATTCAAGGAATTATTGTATTGCAATAATTTTATTTTATTCTTTTTAATTGTCTATTTTTCTTTCTGCAAAATATATATATATATATATGTTTTAGTTATGTTATGATGTTAAAATATATATATATGTTTTAGTTATGTTATGATGTTAAAATATATATATATATTTTTAACATCATAGCTTTTTTTAAGATTTTATACAATATTATTGCACCGAACAAGAAAATCAGGATCGACCCTGTTCTAG